TTGACTTCTGCAGGTGTAACGTAACCAGTGTCGGCGAGGTCGAAATAAGTTTCGGCGTTGACGCTTTCGCAAGGATTTTCGTCGTCCATCGGGATAGGCACGGAGCAGTAAGGGAGTGGTCCTGCTTCTTCCGAGGCGTTATCCACGTTCTGCTCGTCCCAGTCAGCTTCGTCTGCTGCCGAGGCGAAGTGTCGGTCACCACGGAAGCCACCTGTGGGATCCCGATCTTCTTCCAGGTTGGCAAGGTATGTCGGAAGAGTGAGTCGTTCGTAGAAAATGACGTCACGTGCTGCTACTGTTTCTTTGGAGTGGACGTCGAAAATCTTCCACGCGTTGTAATTTCTTTCGATGCCCAGGTGTAATCCCCACTGTGCGCGTTGAGAAAATCGGCCGGCTCGTGCAGATGGGGGTCGGTACTGTACCATGCAGCCGAAAACTCTTAACATTTTTGTGCTGCCCTGTTTTCCTGTCCACAGCAGGTGTGGTGATGCGTTGTTCGGTAGTGACGACGACGAAAGCAAGTTGTGCAGTATGACAGCGTGGTCCATCGCTTCAGGCCACTGGTGATTGGGCAGTCGCATGCCACGCAGTAATTTGCGCATGGTGTTCTGGAGAGTTCGATTCATCCGTTCCGCCACGCCTTGCTGTTGATGGGCGTAAGGAAGCGAGATGAGCCTCTTGATTCCTTTTTCTGCCAAGAACTGCTTGAACCTCTGTAAGGTGTATTCTCCTCCTCCGTCTGACTGAAAGCTTTTCAGTTTCTCGCCTGATTCTCGTTCTGCTACTGGGAGCCAAGCGATGAAGGCTTCGAAGGCCATGTCTTTGCTCGGAAGATTGAGGTGCCAAACGTAGCGTGTAGCTGCATCGATGAACCTGATGGTATAACTGTATGCTCCTTGTCCGGGTTCGCGATTGTACAGGATGTCGCTGTACACCTTTTCAAGTGGTGCGTAAGTTGGTGCGCTGGGGTTGTGGTGAGAAGTGAAAGGTCGATGTGGTAAGTCAGCTTCGGGGCAGGTAAAACACGTCCCTTGTGCTCGTCGAAGTTCACTTCCGTCGGTTAGAAGCAGTGAGTCTTTGTCGAGAACTCCTGCTCTGATTGTGTTGTTTAACACCGTATTACTTGGATGTCCCATTCGTGCGTGCCAGATGTCTTCGCTGGCGCGATGTCCAGGTGAACGACGATACAGGTCGGAGTTGGAGTAAAGGGCAGTGTTGAAGTTTGCGCTTCTGTGAACTTCGCGAGGAGTTGGAGTTAGCTGCTGCGCAGAAGTCGGTGAAGTATTGTCGATGTGTGGCGATGTCGTTGACGAACTTGCGACTGGTGTTGTAAGTGTTGTTGGTGTTGCCGATGGTTCTTCTGCTGCTGCTGATGTTGTTTCTGCTGCTGCCGAGTGTTGAATCGTTGCTAATGCTCTTGTTCGTTCTGCTTCAGGAATGGTGTGCGAGTAACAGAAGCCTTCTGGACTGAAGTCGGGGTCAAGGTCCGGTGGATGTGTCCAAGATGTGAAGGTGACGATCCCGTCACTGTCGGCAGTGCCGAGATCTGGGACAAAGTCGAGGACGAATACGTTGTTTTTCAAGACTGCCTTTCCGATGTAGAGACCACCCTTGCCGTGGTATATCTTAAACTCCTGAGTGGTGCTGTCGGCCTCGAGGTGTATGCCCTTCGCCATCAGCTGACTGACACTCAGTAAGTTGTAACCGAGTCCTTCTGCTATCAAAACCTTTGACATCTGCAGTATGACATTTGTCTCTCGTGACTGAAGTTGCACTACGCCTTGTCGTCGTGTGCGCAGGTTCTGATTGTTGGCGACGGTGATGACAACTTCGCGTTGAAGTTTGTGTTCACGTTGAACAAAACGTCCTGAGGAGCACATATGCTGTCCACAGCAACTGTCCAAGAACCACGTATCCTTCCCGGATGGTTCGCTTTGAGCGATGGCTGCGTACGTTGGATTTGGTTGAAGTGACTCGCTGCGAGACGTGCTGTTGTCAAGCTGCTCTTCCGGTGAGTAATATGAGTAATACGGAGGTACTAGTTTCGGTTGATGCTGATAGTTGTTGTTGTTGTAGCGCCGTTGAGTGTGGAATGCGAATTCAGGTACTGATGTCTTCTTGCTGTGTCGTTCCTCTTGCAGGTCCATATCTTGCTGCTCAGCATGAATTTCGGCGCAGAGTGCTGCTTCTGATATCTTTCCGTGCGCTCGGAGTATGGCGCGAGTGGAGCGCCATTGAGGACCGAGGCCGCCGATGATAACTGTGACGAAGGCGTCCTCTGAAATCGACCCTCCGCATCGAAGGAGATTATCGCGCAATTCGCGACAACGGCTGATATACGCCATCCCTTTTTCGCCTGGTTTCATTTCGACTGTCGTCAGTTGCGCCATTAACCGACTTTGGTTTACGTTGTCTGTTGCTTGATACAGGTTCTTCAGGTGGTTGTACGCGAGCTCTGCAGAGTTGCCGTATCCCCGGTAAGACCGTATGTTCTGCTGCTGATTCGGAGTGATGTTTCTCAGTAGGATTGTGTACGCCATCATTGACTGATACGTGTATTGCTGCTTGTCGTACTGTGTGCCGTGTGTTGGATATGGCAGGGACCCGTCGAAGAAGCCAAGGATCTGCGCGCCTTCCATCATAAGCTCGAACTCAAATGACCAGGTAAATAAGTCCTTTCCGTCGAAAGGCTTTGTCGTTTGCAGTTTTAAGACGTGCGCGAACTGCGACTGAACTTGAAGTGCATCCAGTGTCTTTTCTTGTCCGGATGCAGGCTGCGGATGTGGCATAAAGCTGACGGAGCCACGCTGGGGCTCATAAGGAGCAAAGGTAGGCCGTTGCTGTTGATTTCCACGTGCGTAAGATGAGCCATCTAGGCTCATTGGTGTTGCATTGTTGTTGTTGCTGTTGTTTGACTGTGCAGGTGCCCCTTGCTGGTGTTGTTCGTAGAAGGACATGAAGGAGAAGAACTTCTCCATCATGTCTGGATCGAAGGTCGTAGCTTGATTTGCGGGAGTTTCCGAAGATGATGCCCTTGGTCTTGTCGCCGTACCCTCCTCTGTCTGTAGGCCAGAGACAGGAGGTGGAGTATGAGTAGTGCCAGGAGAGCCGTTAGAGGAGCTTCTCTCCTTCTGCGTTGCCATGTCTTGCGATGTTGTAGATATCTTGTTTGTAGTCGAATTTGCCCTGACCGCTCTTATACCATGTTGGGCTGAAAATGCCCTTAGGATCTTTGCAGGACAGGATTCAAAAGTAGAGTGATGTAGTAGCGGAAGCGTTTAATAAAGACTTTGTTGAACCACCTTGTACTAGTTTGTGAGAACAAAGTTGATAATAACAAAAGGATACAAGCTTTTTATTTGATTACAAGCTTTTTAACAAAGTTGTTTTTATAAAGGTTCTATTTAACTGTTTTTGCTGTTGCGGTTCGATACAGTGCCGACTCGGGTAACTGCTCTGTAACGAGTCAGTTATATGTCCTTGCTGTCGCACTGTACATTTCGTCAGGTCAAAGGTCGCTGACCTTTGACTTTCGCGTAACCTCCAGCAGTTGTTCAACCTCCGAGGGTTGACTCACCGATGTTTCGATACGATCTGCTTCACTCTTGTCTTAGTGTTTCGACACGACAGGGGCGCTTAAATCAGTTGTTTCCAACATTATCAACTTATCTTGTTCTCACACACTAGTACAAGGTGGTTCAAGCAACTTTTATTGAACGCTTCCGCAATTACAACATCTCTACTTCAACACCTGATCTTAGCCTTGAAGGATCCTAAGGGCATTTCTCAGCCCAACATCTACTATCCGGGCGATGACGGTACCATACTCTTACAAACAAGGTACGCCCTAGCCAAACATTAGGGCAAGACGGACCAGGGGACCACCGCAATTTGGGATGTTACCACGTTCTTCCCGTCCTTCCACGTCAGACTCCCGAACCTGAAGTTAGTATACGCAGTTACCACCGTGAACGTTACAGTGAAGGTAACCGACTGGCCAGGTGCAATCGTGAAGCTCGACGGCGTAACCACTGTGGTAACCCCAGTAGGAGACACTACAGTAGCGTTATAAGTTGACACTGCAGTGCCCACGCTCGTGACTGTCCTCTTTACAGTCTGACTCCCTATAATCCGCCCCACGGAAATCGTCGGTCGGTTGAGGTTGTAAGCAGGAATGGGGTTCAAAACCGTATCAGCAGAAACCAGCGACTGAGCAAGGGTCAGATTCTGCGCAGCTAAAAAGTTGTAGAAATCCTGCCCGGTCAAACTGTAAGTAAGGCCCGGGTTCAGGACCTTGCTCGCGTCCACGTGTCCAGCTCCCATTTGCCACGGCGTCGCTCCGGAATTATTTTAGTTTTTAATCCCCGCGTTCTTGTTATTCTTCACTGTAGCCGTCGTCATTATCGCTGACATCACCTGCGACGGCGTCCAATCGGTCTTATTCTGCATGATAAGCACCGTGATTCCCGCAATGTGAGGTGTAGACATGGATGTTCCACTCAACAATGCTTTTATGGCCGTTGTCATAGCAGCTCCCGGAGGTGTCCCCATAGTTGCTCCCCAGAGATTATACCCCGGAGCGATGATGTCGGGCTTTAAGATGTCGTTGGTGGGGAACGAGGGAGGAGGGACGGCGGAGGGGAGGACGAGAGGGCCGATGGAGGAGAAAGAAGCCATGGCTGCCGCGGTGCCGGCGGTGGTGGGGTTGAAACCGTAAGACATTGTGCCTGTGAGGCTGGGAGGTGGTAGGTAGGGGGATGCGTTGGGGTGAGGAGAGGGAGTAGGAGGACAGAGCAAAAGAGAGAGTTCAGAAGGGGAAATGAAAAAAGGGAATATTGGAAACTGGGCATGGAGGTGCAGGAGGGATGCAGGGAGGAGAGCAAACGCGAGATGATGGGTGGGATCCATACAAAGATTCACATGTTATGTATTCGTTGAAAGCAGCATTACTACTGCTAGCAATAACGTGCATGCAAAATAACAGCAAATAGCGCACCTACCTTGCAGACAGCAGGTACTCGTTAAGAATGGCATCGTTAGGAGGGAAGAGAGTCATCACAGAAAAGGTTTTGTATCGAGTCACTGAAGCCTCATCTGCCGGCATCACATTCACTATAAGCACAACCAGACCCTTGCCGCATGCCACCTCTGCTGCCTTCTCGTCATTGCTCACTCCCCCTCCGTATAAGCACACCACCATGCGCCAAGCCACCCATGTTGTGCTGAGTGAACCGTACTTGCAGTATTTGGCCTGTTGGGGGAGGGAACGAAGGAAGGGAAATGTCCTTGGTGCCTTTTCTCCCTTTGTATAAGCACGCCACCAACACCAGGTCGAATGAGCCATATTTGTGATTGGCCTGTTAAAAGTGAAGAAGCAATAACGGATTTTGTTTCTCAAACGAAATACAAAACAACAAGTACGCAAACTAGAGTAGCTTTAACCCAAGTGTGCTGCCTGGCATAAAGAAAAATACAACCTTTTGGTTTCTTTTACTTACTGTAGATGCATCGTATCCAGCAGCGGGGATTTTAGCAGCGTCAATGAGGGGGGTGTTGGCACCCATGCTCGCGCCGCCAAACCCATTCCCGTAAAGCACGGTGCCGTTACCAAGGGTGAGCGACACGTTGTAACGGCGGCTGATGGAGCTGCGCGCATGCCAATGCAAGGGGGAGGGAGAGAGGGAAAAGGGGAGGGAGGGGAGTGGTGAGCGGTGGGAGGGAAAAGAGAGGAGGGGAGGGGTTAGATATGGGGAAGAACGCAGAAAGAGGAAAGAGAGAGGGAAAACTAGGAATTTCAAACGAAGGTGCATGAAGGAGGGATGGATAAATGACACTAAGGCGGAGTGCAGCACGCCAAAGCGAGAAGGGGACCCACCTGAACAACCTGAATCACCTGAAAATTCACCTGGGGACTCACCTGGCGCCAACAGTGAGGAAGAAGGGCGAGAAGTTGGAGATGGCGCGGTAGAGAGAGGGGTGGAAGGGCGGAGGGCCGAAGTTACCAGCCGCTTTCACCACCACCACTCCCGCCTGGTGTGGGGAATGAGGTGATGGGGCGACGAAAGAGACAAGAGAATGCACGAGCATTGAGAGCTTGCCTCCTAGCGACAGTGACGGCATGTCCGCAACAGCATGTCCGCAACAGCATGTCCGCAACAGCACGTCCGCAACAGCATGTCCGCAACAGCATGTCCGCAACAGCATGTCCGCAACAGCGAGAGCAGCACTCGCCGAGTCCAGATAGGGCAGGTCCGTGAAATAGGTGTCTGAGGCATCCGTGCTTCCCAGCAACAGCGAGAGCACGTACACACCGTCCGCGACAATTAGGGAGAATCCGCCCTACCACAGCACTCACCAGATGAGTGTCCAAATAGGGCAGGTCCGTGACGTAGGTTTCCGAGGTGTCCATGCCTCCTAACGACAGCAAGAGCACGTCCACGCCGTCTGCAACGGCCGTGTCTACCGCCGCGACGACGTCCGCCTCCGAGATGACTTGCCCGCCGTACGCGGCGCTGTACCACGCCACCTTGTACATGGCGAGGGGTGACGTGGGAAAGGGCCGGGGGACAGATAGACAGATGACTTGCCCGCCATACGCGGCGCTGTACCATGCCAACTTGAACATGGCGAGGAGTGAGGTGGGGGATGAGGTGAAGAGAATGCCAGCATGGCCGCCGTACGTGGCGCTGTACCACGCCGCCTTGTACATCGCCAGGAACGAGGTGCGGGATGAGGTGGGCTTTGAGTCGACGAAAGAAACAAAAGAATGAAAGAGAATTGACAGCATGCCTGCTATACGCGGCGCTGTGTCAGACTACCTTGTACATGGCGAGGAATGAGGTGAGGGCAGGGGACAGTGACAGCATGCCTGCTATACGCGGCGCTGTGTCAGGCTACCTTGTACATGGCGAGGAATGAGGTGGGGGCAGGGGACAGTGACAGCATGCCTGCTATACGCGGCGCTGTGTCAGGCTACCTTGTACATGGCGAGGAATGAGGTGGGGGTAGGGGACAGTGACAGCATGTCTGCTATATGCGGCGCTGTGTCAGGCTACCTTGTACATGGCCAGGAAGGCGCGCGGCGCCACGCCGTAGGACGAGCCGAGACCGACGGAGTTGATCGACCCGAAGGAGACGGGGCCGGTGCCTGCCGCGGCGCTGGGAATGGGGAAGGGGGGGCAAACGGGAAGAGAACCGAAGGGCTGTGAGAGCTTGTACGCGGCACACGATGCGGTTGGACGAGCCGAAGGACACAGGGCTGGTACCTGCTGCGGCCCTGTGAGAAAATGGAGGGGAATGAAGGGTATGGTGAGGGTGAAGGAGGGTGGGGAAGGGTGGAGAGGATGCAGTTGGACGCGCCAAGAGCGACAGAGTTGATCGACCCGAAGGAGACCGGGCCGGTGCCTGCTGCGGCGCTGGGAACGGGAAGGAGGGAGGTGGGATGGCAAGAGAACCGGGGGACTGTAAGTCTCTGGGAATGCCTCTGCTGTTGCCTGCTGGGGCGCTGGGAATGGTGTGAGGCAGAGGAAGGGAAGGAAGAGAGCCAGGGGAGTGGGAGACCTTGCCTCTCTGTGGGAGGCGGTGTGCGAAAGCACCCTTTTATATCGGTGTACATTGCAAGTCACCTCTCTACTATGAGTCTTACCTGGCCGCACACCACGTGCCGTGGCCGTTGGAGTCGCGCGGGGAGAGCCAGTCTTTTGGGTCGTAATAGGCCAACCCCACTGCGAGAAACCCCGCAATGAAGTACAAATCTCGAAAGCACCCCTTTTTAACGGTGTACATTGCAGGTAACCCATCTACTAATCTTACCCTGCACACCACGTCCCGCGGCCGTTGGAGTCGCGCGGGAAGACCCAGTCTTTCGGGTCGTAGTAGGTCAACGCTGAGAAGGATGAGAGCCAGGGGAGTGTGAGACCTTGCCCCACTGAGGAAGATGGTATGCGAAAGCACTCATCCATAACGCTGTGTGTTACAAGTCACCCATCTATGAGTCTTACCCCCGCACACCACGTGCCGTGGCCGTTGGAGTCGCGCGGGGAGAGCCAGTCTTTCGGGTCGTAGTAGGTCAGCCCCTCCGCGAGGAACCCCGCGATGAAGTACAAACCTCGAAATCACCCATTTATAACGGTGTACATTGCAAGTAGTAACCCATCTATGAGTCTTACCCCGCACACTACGTGCCGTGGCCGTTCGCGTCGCGCGGGGAGAGCCAGTCTTTGGGGTCGTTGTAGGTCAGCCCATCCGCGAGGAATCCCGCGATGAAGTACTGCGCGCCGATGAGCTTCCGCGTGCACTTGGGGAAATCCGTCGTGTTCTGGCACTTGCCCGTCCACGTGGCAGGGGGGTCTGGATACGGGTTGGTCACCTGGGCATCAAAACGGGGGGGAAAGGTGGGGGGGAGGGGGAAATTGGCGAGGAACCTCGCGAAGAGGAGGGGCGAAGCAAGAGTGGAGGCATGCCCGTAATCACGGTCACCATGACCATGTGATGTGCGTCGACTCAAATCACATCTGGTTACAGCGTAACTTCTACCCACCTGGTCCTGGAACGAAGGGTGTTCGGGCCAGATGCCAGAATCCACGAGCCCAATGACCGTCCCCGCGCCGGCCGCGGTCAACGAGGCGGCCTTATTCGCCTTCCAGAGCGTGTTGGGCAGATTGAGGAAATTCGGCGAGTCGAGCACGTCGAGCTTGCTAATCTTGCTCTTTTGCACGTATGCTACTTCCGGGTCTGCTTCTAACGCGCGCTTCTGTTGCGGGGAGAGTCGAGCCGCGAGATCGTTGGTCGAGTACACGTAGCTGTAGAGCACGTCCGAGTCGGGAACCCCCGCGCCGCGCGCGACTCGGGCGTGCTGGGCCTTAACTCGCCTCACGTGGTCCTGGACACGTGGCGAGTTCCGGTCGATCTTTTGCCACTGCTCATTCCTCCCGTTCGCTCCGCCGTTACCGCCGCCATTGCCGCCGTTTCCTTTATTCCCGTCCGCGCCAATCTCGGCCGCAACGGAGTTTCCTTTAAGGCGGACGATATAAACGTGGTCGCCCGGCGTCTCGGTGGCGAGAAGGCGGCGGGGCGCCGCCGCGGCTGACTGAGAGGCAACGGGGCGAGCCGCCTGGGAGAGTAGGAGCGAGAGGAGGAGGAGGAGCGGGAGGAGCCGCAGCGCGTGCGCTGCGGTACACCGTACGGCTGTCGCAACTCGCGCGCCATGGGTTGGCGCAGCGGCTGCCATGATAGGCGCGTGGCTGAAACCCCTCTGGTTGCGTGAAGCTGCCAGGAACATCGCGTGCCTGGAACCACGCTGGTTCCGCTGCGAGCGGCTTGCGAATAGAATCCAGGGCCTGGATTGCGGCTGGGTACTTTCAGCAGATTATCTTGATGACTCTCTTTCCAAATGCCGCAACGGCCTTCTGGTTTCAACCGCGAGTCTGGGACCGCGGTTGTGGTTGAGCTTCAACCCAGACTCGAGGTTGGAAGCTCAACGACAAAGTTGCTGTTCTTTCAATTCCTAAGCCTGGGATGATTTGCGGCCTTGCCGAGTTACTGTACTGGCTGGTGGTCGTTCCATCGCTGCTGGGATCTGGACGAGTGACTGGGCAGATGCATGCTCCCCTAGAAGTACATTCACTATGGCGTATCGCTCGTGCGTGATGGGCGTCTCGTAAAACATGCCATGCCATCTCTACTTCCATCTCTACTTCCAGTTTTTCTCTGGCTCTTCTGTGCCCAACTTTGAATCTCCAATTCCACCTGGACTTTACATAATTGTTCGCGCTTCCCCAGGGAGTCGGCTGGAGTAGGTGACGGTCTCTAAGTCGACTGGGGCAATGCTGTTCTAGAAAGTTCAAGATTTACCTGACCACCTGACCCTGCTGTCTGAATTTCACCTGCTTATCGTGAACCATGTAACAATACGCCAAAGCGTGACGAAATATGTTCGACAGGAAACTAAGGTATCTGACAAGAGTCATAGTGGTGTGAAGGAACGCAGCAACACAGCTTGCGAATTTCGCATGCTCACTTCAGCAAAAGAAGTGAATCGCGTTTCTTCGCTCAAATCTTTGGTCACGGTTTTTGCATCCGCTATTGTTCTCTCGTTTAAAGCAGTTTACGTCCGCAAAATATGATTTCTCAATCATGAATTGATAGTGATTTACATTAATTTATTTGGATGCTCAGCAGAAAGCGTCTAAATCCTGCTCCAGTGCAGGATACAGAAATGGGCTAGCGACTCGTAACAAGCGACCAACCTGATATCAGACTGAATACTTTCTTTAAATCAACATTCTGGTGTAAAGGGACTAATTGGGAGCACAGCCAAAGATGCGAATACAGCTGGCAGAAGCCAGAGCGTCACAATTCCAGAGCCACAGCAAAGCAGCCCAGCAGCAGAGCAGCAGCAAACTGCTCAAACGCATTCAACCACTTTGCCATGCCGGAAAGTTGTCCCTGCCAGTGCTGCTACATCTGTGGTGATTATGAGCCACAACACTGCATCTCATGTCTCCGCTTCATGTCATGTCTCAGATTCAAATGTCCTGAACGTGCAGACCTGCAAGGTTGGGGAGGTAAGCACACACGGAGAGAAAGGGAAGGATCAGAAGTGGTCCGTGCCAGTGGTGCTGCATCAGATGTGGTTATGTGCCACGACGCTGCATGACTTCTCTCAGATTCAAATGTCCTGAACCTCCGGACTTGCAGAGATAGGGATGAGGTAAAGAGGTAAGGGGAGAAAGTGAAGGACAAGAAGTGGAGAGCAGATCAGTCTTTCTGTGCTATACAATGGTTGAGTTGTAGGCACACTGCCTAGTACACATTGCCCATTGCACGCTGTGAAATTCTAGTTGATAAGGGTCTCTGCAAAAGTCAGTCACCGCTCTCACTAGAAACCCCAAAAAACTCACCTCATAGGCTACTAACAAAAGCCCAAAACCACTTTTTTTTCACAGCTACTATTGGTCAGACCGTCAGAGTCGTTCAACAAGTGCATGCAACCGACAAAAGCCAATGCTTGTTCAAGACTGGCGGAGTTACAGCCTCTACATATCGAGCACTACACCCCCTGCATTGCGACAATCACTCGTAGAACCTGCTAGCTACCCTCCCGAGACTCTATTTGCCCGGCTCATAACCACCACACAGTGCCATTCGCGGCGCTGCATTCCTGACGCGCTATCTCCTGCACCCAAATGCCCCATCTACTTAAAAATCAGCACGCAACCTCCAGCTTAGCGCTGCACTGAGAGACTTCCTGAATCTATTTCGCTACTCCCGAAACGCGTTTCCTCGAAAGCCTGTTGTACTGAATCGACCCCCTGGAATCTAGGCTTGATTGACTAAAATACAATGCCCGAGTTTCCTACACTGAAGGAACTCATTGAACCCGAGCATGTGCATTGAGATTAGCTTCTTGCACAAAAATCCCTCACTAAAACTAGAATTACGGAACCGATCTCAGCTTCCTGTGCCCACACGTCCGGCATTGTAAAAACAAATCTAATCGTTCAGCACTGAAGCAGCCTGTACTCGAAATTCCCTGCTTGAGCTATAATGCTGCGGATGGAGAACTGTGAGAATTGAGGTGAGCGTGGGCTCATGGAATATAGCAGGTGCACCGGTGGACATGATACTGGAAACACGCACAATCAATTCCTTGAACAATAAGAGAATACTCTTGAAACGCGTACAACATACCAGGGGGCAGCGACTGCTTGAGCTTGTCAGCCTTGTCGCTGTCGGTGACGCAGAGCGTGTAGAGGTACTTGGAGCATCGCACCTTGAACTTCACCACGTCTCCGGTCTTCTTGATCTTCACGGCTGCAGAAAGGAGGGGAGAGAGGAGAGGAGGGAAGGGGGGCAGGTAACAAGTATGAGAACAAGGAAAGGGTGGGGGAGGGGGGGGAGGGGGGAAGGGGGGAAGAGGAGAGGGGAGGAGGGAGTAGTGCGTTGGGGTGAATGAAACGTGGGAGATGCAGATGACTGGTGAGTGAGCGAGAGAGGGTTAGTGACAGGAAGAGGGTTGAATAGAATCGCACTTGACAAACATGTGGGTGAACAGAATCACTGAAGGAAATTTCAAGGCTTAAAGGCAACTGGTGGGTGAGGTTGGGAAAGGGGGAGAAGGAATTCGCACTTGACCGTCAGAGCATCAGTCACGGAACATTTACAGGGGACCATCAGCATCAGGAGACTGGTGGGTTAGGTGAAGGAAGGACGAAACCCTAACACAACGCTGAGCAGATTCATCGAACGGATACGTACAGCGGGCATCCTTCCGCCGCGCGGTGAGGAGGAAGTCCTTGATCTCGTGGATCTGCTTCGGCTGCCAGGAGGAAAAGAGGGAAGGGTTGCAAGAGGGAAAAAAAGTTTCGGGGAGTGCGGGGGGTTTGGGGGAAAGAAAGGGGGTGAGTAGGGAGAAGTGAGGAGGAAGTCCTTGATCTCGTGGATCTGCTTCGGCTGCAGCATGGATTGAGAGGGTTCAGGGGAAAAGAGTGGGGGGTGGAGAGGGGGGGGCGCGGGGAAGGGATGTCAGTGGAACACCAAATGGGGGATGCGGATTAGCGGAGCGGAAGGGGGGCCAAGAGGAGGCCTTGATCTTGAGGATCTGCTTCGGCTGTCAGGAGGAATCGGTAGAATTTGCTAGGTAAGGGTTAATGGAGGGGAGGGGAAGCGTAGAAAGGCGGGGGAAGGGAAGCAAAAGGGATTCGTGAGGAGAAATTCCATGATATCGTGGAGCTGCTATGGATGGCGGAATAGACGGCCGTGGAAGAGGGGAGGAAAAAAAGAGATGGCGGGGTATGGTGGGATTCGGGGAAATTGAGAGGGGCGGAAGAAATGGGAACGTGCGGTGGGGTCGGGGATTACGAAGGGTAGAACTGACTTGAGGACGAGTGACCAGGCAAGGACACGGGAGTGAGAGCGTGAAAGGTGATAAAAACGAGCGGAAAGGATTTGAAACGTCGCACAGTACGAGGCAAACGTTGCCGAATGGTTTCGAGAACTTTAAAACTTTCCAGAAACCGAGCGAATGAGAAAAGGGAAAGAGCGAGACGTCTCGTGGTTTGAATGTGCGACCGCTGACAGCCGTGTTTCTGAGACGCGAGGCAAAAGCTGCTAAGAAAAAATGTCTGACTGATGGTTGACGGATCCAATCCGATATCTGAGTCGATTGAACTCCATCTAATACGTGATGTAATAGCGGGAAGGCAGCAAGTGCCCTGTATGCGCGAGCTAGACGCAAACCTAATGATAAAGAGGAAAATATGGGCAGGTTCGGCTGCATGCGCTTCCTGCACCAGTAAATGCCAAGGGAGGTGAGCGACGCGGGCCAAACCCTAATTTGTTTTTCGCCCCGACACATAACGCGCCGCGTAGCAAAGCAACGGCCCTTCCACCAGCCGGAAGGAAACACCCGAAATTACACGAAAAAAGCGCAACAGCACTGGCTTATTAAGTTGCACACACTCATAACATGTTCAACACAATTCTGGCAGTTTGTCCAACTGATGGCGCGAAATTGAAGCCTATTCTTAAACAAAGGAAGATTAAAGCGCAATGTAACGCACCATGGTGACGACGTGGGTGGCCTAAAGACCGAAGAAGGAATCAACCCTAGGTGCGATTAGGGCAAGCTAAGTCGTTAAGAGGGAGAGGAAAGAATCTAAGACCAGGAGCTAAGGAAAAAGGCAGAGCGGGAGGGAGGAGGGAGTGCGGCGAAGAGGGAGCGGACCAGCGCGCATGCGCGTTTGCGGAGAGAAAGGGTTTTGGGTGGGAGGGAATGTGTGCGGGGAGGGGGAATGGTGAGCGGGGGTTGAGGGGGATGGGGAGGGAGGGTTTTATTGGAGAGGACAGAGGGACCAATTTCAGCGAGCTAATTCCGTTTGTCTTTTTTGGGCTTTGCTTCCAACTACAGTCTTTTAGTTGTCCAGGCTAAGTGTATATTGGTATATTTTATATGCAAATCTCCGACCCATCGCTGTGCTGTAAGCGCGTTCTTGCAATGCAAAAGGATATTCACTTTCTTGAAAGCCTCACTTGGAGCTCTGGCCGGACCTCCACATAGGCTTGGCTGAAATGTATTGCCTTGGCATTGGGCACCCAGAAAGCCTCATTTGGAGCTCTGGTCGGACCTCCAGATGGGCAGCCAAACTGATGCGGTTCTGCGCAAGCCCTGATGTTCGTCCCACGTGGAATTCGACTGAGGCGAATAGGTTTCCATCGGATCTGGTCAGCCCGAAAAGCCCAGCCCATCAAACATGGTCCATCCACGGCCAGGGCACATGCTGCCAACATGACAGGGTGGCACCTGCCCTCACCTGAACCTTCCATACAGTAGAGTGCGGTACTGTGCATTTTTATGGGATGGGGATGGGTGGGATGAAATTTTGCCTCGGCTTCAGGGCCGACTGGGTCCGGTCTGGTGTAAAAATGTGAAGTCGAAAGCACTGCCGCTGTACTACAGGTAGATTCGGTTATCGCTCAGGCGGTGGTGTGTTTTGTGAGGGGGAGGTGGGAGAGAACGGGTCGGTCGGTCATCAGAAGCAGGCGTGGGCCAGAAAGCAGGGTTTCGCTGTCGAACACGGAAACCGAACCAGGTCAATGGCTTGTTGGCCGTCCTTGCCATACTGTACTGTACAACAGAACCCCTTCCCAGACCTCACACTTCAGCAGCCGCATCCACCAAAGCAAACACCAGGCAACAGTCAAGCCACCACGAACCACTCCCCCAACCTTCCAGCCCACCCCCGGGGGTGACCCATCCCCGCGCATGACCCGGTGACACCCCGCTCGCCACCCCCACTTTCCCTCTTTGCCACCCACTCCAGTCCAGACCCCGCGCGTCGTACTGTACATGCGCGTCCTTCTGTCCGCCTGCACTGCAGCATCCCCCGCCATACAGTCAATAATTCCTATGTCCGCCTGCCCGACACCCAACCTACTCAGCATGGCATCCAATGGCATCCATCCCTGACCCTTCCCCAGACAACCCTTCCCTGAAACCAATATTGCTCAGGGCGGATCATTTTCGTCCAGTCACAACTGGTGCGGAATGGTATAAAGCGGTGAAAACCTGAACCGCTTTGAAACGTGGTAAAACGTGTTGAACCGCAGTTTGTTGATCGGTGCTTGAGCTCTGCAAAAGTAATCGGTGTGCAAGACTTCAGAATCTAGGCTGGCTTCAGGACTCCTTAGTTGTTACAGTATCACTCTGTTCTTCAGACCACTGATTTTATGCCGTGCTGATAATTCAAGTGAGCTAGATTGTGTTCAACCGCTAGTTAAGCAGCTTCGGTTTTATTAACATTTTTGTTGCAACGCGGAAAACGTAGAATAATGCGTGGATAAGTCCTCGTTCCCGCCTTGACATTCATGGCGTCCCCTTTTTACCAACAGATCGGTGCAGATTTCGCCAGTTTTCAACCCCTCGCGGAGAATCCCCATCCGATGCTGAGCCAACGGCCATATCCTCCACATCAGCTGCACCATCCGCCATTTCAGACACAAACGCTGCATCCGCTGATGTCAAATGAAGCGGTTCCTTCACAAGACGGCCCTCAAACCACGCCGCAACTGACGATGAATTTGAACCAAGCGATTGTCGATCCCGGAGGCTCCGGTTTCGCTTCTGGTGCTCCGTCTGGTGCTCCTTCAAATGATCCGTCTGGTGGTGTTCTTGGCTTATCTTCCTCCCCAGAGGCTCTAATGAATGCTCTCAATCTGCTTAAGCAGGTACGCCGGTTCTGTGATGAAGGCTACGTCGTCCATTTTCATCCATCTCTTTCTGTTTGAAGACTTAGTTGTACCTTCGCTGTATGTGCTGCTCGGCACCTTACCTGTAATAATGGAGTTTTTTTCTTTCAACTTTTGTTTCTTGTTTGTTGTTCCAAACATTTCTTGCGTCGTACTTCTCAAGGTCATGTATACGTTTCCCCCTTTTCTCTCTATTTCGTTCTCCGCAGAACATCAGCGCGCTTCAGTCGCTCATCCCGCTGATGGCACAGCAGCAGCAGCAGCAGCCAATCGACAGCGCTCACGCGGAGCAGCTGAAGCAGCAGCACGCCGCCGCGTCGGCCGGAATCGCCTCCGTCATTTCCCAGCTCGCGCTCGCCGCGGCCAACATCCTTCCCCAAATGGGCCTTCCTGCGCCCGTCAATGTCACCCCTGCTACTCTTCCACCCGCTAATGTCACATCCTCAGTCCAGCCGAGTAATCCCAACTTGGCGTCGTTTCCATCTCGTGACCCACATCCTGATGCCAACTATTCGCAGCAGCAACATCAACCAACCCAGGAGCACCAATCCCCGCAAATTCCGCAAGGAACTTCAGCGGGCTTCAGCTGCCAAGATCTTGGCCTCCAGATGATGTTGGAATCTCAATCGCAGAGCGCGCGGAACGCGGAGAAGGCCACGGCTCAGCTGCAGCTTGGTCTTGCTCCCTTAACCTCCGCTCCGGCTGAGTCACTCAAGCTGCATCAGGAGCAGCAGATGCTGCAACCGCAGAATCTCGTTCATCCGCAGAGGCCGCACATTCAGCATCAGAGCCCTGCATTTGCGCCGTCGCATGGGACCGCTTCTCCAGTCGACGACACGTCGCCACTCGCAATCGCGTCGCAGCTGCCGCGGAAGCGGAAGTGCCTCGAGCCCGTGATGATGGCGCCAGCTGCTGCTGCTCTCGAAGCGCGTCAGGGGAACCCCGCGACCTTCCCAGGTGGTGATGAAGCTGACGACGACGAAGGTGAAGTGTTGGCTGGTGAGTCGCGTGCTTTGAGTCGATCGGAAAGTTACTTAGGGAAAGCAAGCCGGCGACCTTCCCAGGCGGTGATGAAGCTGACGACGACGACGGCCAAGTGCTGGCTGGTGAGTCCAAGGGACTTGCTGCGTTGCGTTCGATAATGCGTGCGTGGCTTCATGCAATCCTTCCCACTCCTATAATTTGTCGCTTGCTTGCACACATCCACGTACGTGTGTGAAGAAGTGTTTTGAGACGTCTCAAAACTCTTCTTCAGATGCGTTGCGTTCGATAATGCGTGTGTGGCTTCATGTGATCCTACTCCTATCTGTCGCCTGCACACATCCCATGCGCCTTGTCTCTCTGCTGCGTGCGCTCATGCTTTCATGGCTTCAGGCGAGTTCAGCATCGTTCAGATGGACCCTGTGGAGCTGCTCGCGGAGCACACCCACTTCTGCGAGATCTGCGGCAAAGGTCAGTTCGTACGTGACGTGGCATGGTTTATGCAGAAAGCATGTGGCTTTGGGGTTCCTCCCTTTTTGCTGCGTTACCTCACTGTATCTCTCTGCTCTCGTGCCTCATTCTGATATTTGTACCTTCCCTTTCATCTGCTCTGCGCTGACTTGGGATCTGCTAATTTTGCAGGATTCAAGCGAGATGCCAACCTCCGCATGCACATGAGAGGTCACGGCGACGAGTACAAGACGCCAGAAGCCCTCGCAAACCCCGACAAAGCCACGCTCTCTCGGACAAAAACCACCGCCACCGCTGAGAGAAAGCCGCTCCGATACAGCTGCCCGTTTGTGGGGTGCAAGCGCAATCAGCAGCACCGGGCGTTCGTGCCGCTGAAGACGATGCTGTGTGTGAAGAACCACTACCGCCGCACCCACTGCCCCAAGATGCTCTCCTGCTCCAAGTGCGGTGCAAAGCGGTTCTCGGTGGTGGCGGACCTCAAGACCCACGAGAAGCACTGCGGGCGCGACCGCTGGCTGTGCTCCTGCGGCACGTCCTTCAGCCGCAAGGACAAGCTGCTCGGCCACCTCGCCCTCTTCAAGGGCCACCGCCCCGCCAACCCCTCCCTCACCGCTGCCGACGACGGCCCTGCAGGCGCCATTGCTTTTGGTTCGGGAGTCGAAGCTCCTGCGATTGCTGGTCAGCGCCCAGCGAAACCCACCCTCGCTGCTGTGAATGACGGCCCTGTGCCTGCAGTAGCTCCCGTGCTTTTCGGATCTTCCTTCCAGCAGCATGAACAACAACTTTGGTCTCAACCTGAGGAAAAAACTGAGCAACAACCTGGGTACCAACCTGAGCAACGGCCACTGTCAGACCTTGTCACGGCAGATCTCCTTGGCTCGGCTGAGAAGGCTGCGCGGCTGGTGCTGTGAGTGCAATCGAATTCACCTGCAGTCTGTCTCATTGCATGATTCATTGTGAACTGTGATGTGCGCGAAAGCTGTCGAGTCAACTCGGAATAGCAATAGCCTGCGCGACTGGGGCAGTGAATTTTCTGAGGTCCACCTGCCGATGTAGTGCTTTCACCACTTCTGCGGCCTTCAAGGCTGGCAACACCCGAAACCCTGAGTGGGGTGGGGAGTCTGCAGAGTCGGCTCTTTACATTACAGCGCCAGGTGGGACGACTCCTGTGAATATACCTTCACCAAGACTGCGGTGCTAACTTCCACGGCATTTTGTACCTGATTGACCCTGACAAAAGCTGACAGCATAGCACGGGTTATTCAGCAGGTTTGTTACTGTGTCGACGAAAGCTCATTTTATTGTTAGCCACTTCTTTGCTATCCTGTACCCTGAGGGGGATTCTTATGTGCCCCTTGTTATTAGTATGTGGTTTGTATGTAGTGCCCATATAGGGCATACGGTATCCTTGTGCCCCATATTTAGTGTTTGCTGAGGAGCACTGTATTTGTACTTAGGTTACACAGTATATTGAGAAAGCTTGCTTTCTTGTTTTTATCATATGGCATCGTTCTCATTGCAAATGGCATATTACAACATATCCATCGAGTTCTAACACAAGCTAGTACATGCAGAGAATACTAGCTAAAATGTACCGTGTCCAAACGGCCTTAGTAGGCAGTCGATGCTGGGGTGGGTGGTGGGAAAGTTGAGTGAGCCGTTGGAAATAGAGAAACGTGGGTGGAGGGAAATGAGCTCCAACCCACGGTTTTTGTAGTTGGAGAAGGGCGTTTAGCGCGCTTCGACGATGCCAAATGTGCAGTACAAGCAGCTTCGCTTTCACAATACACAATTTTAAAAACACAATGTGTGTTTAAAATTTATAATATTGAGAAAGCTTGCTTTCTTCTTTTTATCATTTGGCATCGTTCTCATTGCAAATGGGGCCTCTGAGACATGGGCAGCGGGGGTTTCCGGTTGCGTACGAGTGCCTCTGCGTGTTGCTCCGAGGACAATGCAAGTGTCGGGTTCTGCAGGATGCGCGATGCCTTGATGAGAGGTTCGACGTATGGCGTGACGTACATTTCCTTGGCTGTGTCACTTCGCCACCTGCCCAGTCTTTTGAAGATTCTGTCTGGTACACCGGTGTTGGCTGCCACTGTGGCCGCGCCTTTTCGGAAGGAATGAGTGCCGAGCTGCTGCTCTCCAAGCCCAACCTTTGCGAAGGCTTCCTTGCACCAGTTCCGGATCGTCGTGTATGAAGGTGGCCTGGCCTGGCCCACGCTGGTTGAGGCATGGCCGAAGACGCGGATCAACGACCCCTCCGAGTGCGGGCCGTAGCCAGCAAGTTGAATGAAGCGTCTGGTGCAGCGCACGGGGCAGCAAGGGTCCGCCGTTGCCGCAATGGGTATCCATGTTCCGTGACCGGCCTGATCCGTCTTGGAGTGTGGTATGAGGATCCACATGACATCGTCGTCGAATTGGATGCCTTGCCATTTGATAGCCACGAGGTCGGAGTATCGCAGAAATCCCGAGTACATGAGGATAGGGATCAGCCCTTTCTGGAATTCCGCCGGATTGTCAGACAGCAGGTAGCTCGCCGCCATGTCTCGAACTTGTTGGATCGATACGGGCTCCTTCAGACGAGTAGGGCGAGGGCAATGGCGTTTCGCAAAGTCGCGGACTTGTGTGGTGAATGGCCCATCCGTCGGGCATGTGCTCCCAGTCATGCGATGGGCGAAGCTGACTGCTGAGCACGTGAGCTGTACTACGGACAGGGTAGCTTTACGTTGGATTGCGTGGACCAGGTATAGCGCGAGGGTCATGTCGGATGCGGGGAGAAATGCAAGGTTCACCTTTGTACAAAAGGCTCGAAACTTAGTCCAGTATGGTTCGTATGTCCGGATCGTCGAGTTTGCACGAGACTGTGCGATCATGTTAATCAGCTGGTCGTGTAGCTTTGGGAGCAATTCTGAACACAAGGCGGAGAAGTTATGAATTAGTCAAATACCACTCGGAGTGCTATGATTGGGCTGTGCGGTAATCCTGAGCCTGAGAAGGCAGTGGAATGTGTCCCTGCAGCTAAGCATTGGCTTCCGTGTGTCAGAGGGATGTGTGCATGGATGTGTGACGCCCACGTGCATGGGGAGGGTTGTAGTAGTGGCCACCAGCTTGTGCCCGGCCAATGCGGAACTATCAGTGTGAGTGATGCGTGGGTGCGTTGTGCGTGGTGGAGGACGGCGGGGACCAATTGGGGCGGGGGGAACGCGAAACCATTTTCGCCTGTCCATGCGAGCGAAAATGCATCAATTGCGAAGGCGTCTGGGTGAGGGATCTTTGTGCAGAAGCGCGATAGCTGGGTGTTGCGGGAGTTTGCAAAAAGGTCGATGGAATGGGGACCCCAACGACGTTCCAAGATGCGGAACCATGGCGTCTTCAACGAGTAGTCGTCGTGATCGACTATTTTGGAAAGCTCGTCAGCGTGTGAGTTGAGTTCGCGGGGAATCCATTCGATGATTAAGCGCGTGCCGAGCTCCATGCATGTTCGTATGATGCCCTTGCAGGCCATGGTGAGGTCGGGGCTGCGAGAGCCGCCTTTGCGAAGGATGAAGAATACACCTTGGTTGTCCACCCGCACGAGAACGTGTTTTTTCTGGATCTTGTTGGCATACGTTTGGATTGCCCAAAAGACGCCTTCAATCTCCCGTCTCGTGCTGGACGTTGCTCGTAGCGGCTCTGGCATGGTTGCACTAGCTTCTTCGAGGCCGCCCGGGAACGTGGTCAGGGTGGCGCCCCAACCGTGAGAGCTGGCGTCCACATGGATTACAGCGTCGTAACTGTTTCGGACGTGGAATGGTGCACCGTTAAACCGATCAAACTCTTCGCGCCAGAAGTTGAGCTCCTCAGCTACAGATGGGGAGACGATCACACTGCTTTTCCATGACGGCGCGTCGTTGATCACTTGTAACATGGCGTGGCTGAATGCGCGAGCTGTCGCGCCTAGTGCGACACTCATTGAGGCGAGCATGCCTGTGACTCTGGCCACATGACGGATGGGGACTGGTGTGCTTGCCTTGCTTGCACTTAGGAGGTTCTGGATGGTTGCATGTAGCGCGACTCGTCGGTCGGGACCGATGGAGAATCGGCCGGTGTCGGTGTCCAACTCTACACCCAAAAATCGAAGGTGCTGCGATGGTGAGAGCTGCGATTTCTTCGCGTTTATCACCAGCCCCGCTGCTTTGAGGTCCAATATTACGCGCTGACAGGTAGCTTGCGCATGGGCCTTTGACTGGCAGAGAAATAAAATGTCATCCACGTATGGCACTACTCGGATGCCGTGTTCTCGCCAACGCCGAGCAAGTTGCTTGATGAGTTGCGTGAAGACGAATGGAGCTGTGGCGAGTCCGAATGGCAGGGATCGAAATGCGTATGTGTGTCCACCAAATTCGAACCCAAGGAACTTCCAGCACGAGGGGTGGATGTCGATGTGGTGATAGCCGGATTTGAGGTCGATGGAGAACATCCAGTCCCCAGCGCGTGCCAGGTCGGCCACCCGGTTAAGTCCCTCGTACTTGAACTTGGGGACAATTAAGTGGGTGTTGACTTTCCTCAGATCAAGAATGAGCCTGCATTTGTCTTTTTGCTCGACCACGTTGAGCGGACTTATGCAAGTAAGCTCCTTTGCGGCCATCGGAACTGCCGCTCCGGTCTCTGTGAGTTCTTGTACGGCAGTACGTGTGAATGTGGCATGCGTGTTCGCCCCGACATGGTTGCGATCGTGGAAGGGTTGCGGTGGGCCGTGGCTCCATGGCAACCAATAGCCTTTGGCTATGACGGAGAGGACAAGGCTACTCGAGCACCATGAGCTCCACCATGCAAAGGTCGCGCGAAGCCGGCCGCGCATATGTGTAACGGTTTTGTCCGTTATGGCAAATTCGTATGGGTCGTCGCCGCATGCCGCCTCGTATTGCCACGCTCCTGTGTGTTCGTGGCATGGGACAAGGGTTGCACTTTTTATTTAAAAATACGTGTGTTGCATGTGTGCACGTGCTTGAGATCACTTGTAAACGGTGTGGACAGAATTGATAATGAATTGCTATGTCAACGAGTGTGCCGAGCACCGACCGGCTCGCCCCACGGTCCACACACGATTGGATGCGGCTGTCCATGCCCTCTCTCTCTCTCTCTCTCTCTCTCTCTCTCTCTCTCTCTCTCTCTCTCTCTCTCTCTCTCTCTCTCTCTCTCTCTCTCTCTCTCTCTCTCTCTCTCTTTCTTTCTCTCTGATTCTCTTTCTCTCTTGCTCTGCACCACTTCTTTGTTTCTTAGAGTGTCACTTGCCAAAATCAGAGGGCCTTTAGGAATAATGTTTTATTAAATCGACCCGACACACATAGCAATGCTTTCCTAGCATGCATACGCCACCTAGTGGCCAATACATGGGACCGAGGGGTTGATGTTCCCCTTCCCTAACCTAGGCCCAAGGCCTACTCTACCCTTGTCTAGGGCTGGCCTCTTGCCATCGCAAACCCCTAGGGCTGCCCACGGTTTCCGCACTCTAGAGTGCACCGTGCCTTGCGCTCCGAGCGCATTTCCCATGGTCCGCTCCTACACTACCGGAGCGGGACCTTGGCCACCATGCCCGTTCCTAGGGCAGGCACTTGCCACATGGCCCGGCTGGCCGCAGCGGAAGCACGAGCCCCGAAACCCACGACAATTGGCCGTGGGTGGGGGACCCCGCTTGGGAATGAACGGCATCGGCGCGTTGCTTCCGCCGCGGTTGACGCGAGCGTATGCGCTTGCGGCGCGGTCCATCGCAGCCATGTCCGCGACCGCCTGCTTGAAGGGTCGAGAGGTCAGCAGGCTCTTCTGCTGGTACAGCTTGAAGCGCTTCGCCGTGCGGAAGTCGGAGGCGTCCTCCACTTGAAGCACCTCGAAACGCCCCGCGATGAGGTTGAGGGCGTGTGAGATGAGT